TATTATTACATACTGTATATCATACTGAGTACTTAAAATATATTAATTTGTATCACTGGCATGAAAAATTGCTTGCAGAGGAGCAGATCATAAGTCTCTGCAATCAGAAAAATATGAGTGAGAAACCTGGCTCTGCCACTGTTCTTGTCTGTGTCTTTCAGTAGGTTTGTTAAGATTCAACTGGATAACGCATGCTATGTATTTCGTATCTTATTTGGCAATATTAACCACTTTTTTCTTTTTCCCAGGTGAGGATACTGATGATTAGAGAGTTTAAGTTCTCTGTCTAGAGTGAGAGTCAGAAGCGGGCAAACTTCCTGCCAAATGCATAGAAAGTGCTCGGCAAATGTCTGTCACAGGAATGAACGAACTGAAGGAGTCAGTATATACTCAACATTGATTGCAAATGCCACCATATTCTCTGTTGTTTCCTTTGTTAACTAAACAACAGACTTTTCCTATTCACTTGGCATTTACAAAACCGGAAAACTCAAATAGTAGCTGCATGTTGATGGGCATATCTGAAATTTACTTTAATGAAATGAGAAAAACTGTAATTTGGGATCAGAAGCCTTTTTTTTTTTTTTTTTAAAGTAATTCCAAAGGTCTGAGAAAAAGTTGTGGGGCGTATCTCTCCCTTTTTGGGCTATCAATTCCTACCCTTCCCCCCAGCATCCCCATCATCCGTTTGAAGTAAATACATAATACATTGGTGGGTAGAGGTGGGGTGGGTGGTTCTAAGTACTGGCTTCTTTCTGCTTTCTCCCGCTAAGGAAGCTGTTGGCACAGGCTGGTACAGCTGGGGCAAGACACAGGGTCCCATAAGCTCGGCTAATTGCATCTCACTCTTGGAACTTGAAATCGTGAAGAATAATGAAAATAACCCTCTAATAATCTCCCTTTTTGCTTAAGATAGCCCAGAATCAATTCCTGTTGCTTAGAACAGAGACCTGGCAAGTGCAAAGGTCAACAGAAAAGTCAAACAAGTTTTTACACGTTCTGTTTCCAAAGGCTTTTTAGAACTAAAGGGCATTCAACCATTAAAGCCAAATGAAGTTATTTTTAAGCTGGTAATATTTTAAACAGGCAACTTACGTATATAGAGTGTGTCTGTGTGAATGCACACACACCCTCCACACTGCTCTGAGTGGATTCAATATAAACATATACCTGAATTGTGCAACATCCAAGTCAATGTAGAAACCAAGCAAAGATTAAATTCAGTGAATTGCAGCTATTTCTTTGAAAGCTTATTTAGTTTTTTTTTTCACAGTGGGTGCTATGGAGGGATTATGCTTATTAGGAATTTAGCTTCTGTTTGGATGACGACTAACACAGACATTTCCTGATACAAAGCTGAGAAAACCTCTTGCAAAGCTAAGCAAACATAACCAGTAAGTTCCTTCTGTAAAAACAAAAAACAAAAGAACTATTCCTCTGAGATTTTTGTCCTTGTTCCTCTGTTTCCATCATAGCATCTATTAAGTGGTTTGGTAGTCATTAGCTTTTTGGTAGTACAGGATATTTTTGGGTAGTACAGGAGGGTATCCCTTCATCTTTACTTGAAGGTGATTATTTCTCCTAACTTAACTGGACCCCTAAAATGTAAGCAGGCACCTGGAGCTCAGGCATGATGAAACTGAGCTTAGAATATAGACTTGAGAGATGGCAAATGTAAAACAGAAAAGTGCACCACTGACGTAGGGATTTTTCTTTTGAAAGCTTATCTTTTATTTTTAAAATTCCTAAGCTTTCTTTAAAACAAAAAAAGTTTATTTTGAGAGAGAGAGAGAGCAAGGATAACTGAGCACGGGAGGGGGAGAGAGGGGCGGGGGAGAGAATCCCAAGCAGGCTCTGTGCTGTCAGTGCAGAACCTGATGCAGGGCTCCATCCCACCAACCATGAGATCATGAGCTGAGTTGAAATCAAGAGTCTGACACCCAACCGATTGAGCCACCCAGGCGCCACCTCCCCCCCCCCCCAAATTTCTAAGTTTTCTAAAAACTACCTCAGTAATTTACATTTAATTTTAAGGTAGCATTTTAAAGTACTTTGCCAGAATCTTTTTAAACCTTCGTTTTATAGATGGGGAAAGTGAGATCTAGAGCTTAAAGGGATGTGCTTGAAGTCACGTAAGACGAGAACGACTGTGCCATCGCTCCCGAGAGTGGGATTTACTTTGAATTAGAAATTCTTAAACTAATAAAATTTGTGCATTAAATTAAGATTAGAAACCATTAAAGCATTAATAAGGGCTGAAGCATTTTTATAAGATTTTTATTTACTATTTATTACATTTAACTTTTTAAATAAAAATTGGAGAGCCCATACATTATTTAATTCTCCATTTTGCATGATCATAATGTAATTGGTACTTGGCTGCTTTCTCTACCACACTCCTGTTTTAGATTAGTCCTTGTGGACCCTTTCCTCCACAACAGCTTCTCCCTTTTTGCTTTAAATTGCAATCAGGGCAGAATAACAGGTGAGTTGAGAAGCTAATTTATGTCTCTGAGGTTTTCTATATAAACCTTAATAATCCTCTCATCTTACCAAGTTTGCTTTCCTTTGGGAATTTTGTCAGCGCCACAAGTTTATTCCCCAGGTGTGCAATTTAGGAAAATTAACCTGGCAGAGGTAAACAGACTGATTTATAGGAAAAGTGGTGATCATAATAACATAATGAGGATATTGCAGTGAATCAGGCAAGCTCCAGTAGGATCTTGGGTTCGGATTGTGGCAGTGACAACAGAAAGGGGAATACAAAGGAGACAGGTGGATACAATGTGGTTGCAGATTGGCTGTGAGTGTGAAGAGGAAGGAATCAAAGATGCCTGAAGTTCTAAGCTTCCTGGGTTCTAATCCTTGGTTTGACTCCTACTAGCTATGGCCATTCTAGCTTACTACTTACATACATACTTTGTGATTTGGATAACTTATCTAAGCCCCAGTTTCCTCTTCTCTAAAGCAGAGATAACCCTACCTACCCCAAAAAGGCTGATGCAAAGATTTAAGTAAAATGTAAAACCGTCCCCGTGGTGCCCAGTACACAGCACTAGATAGATGGCAGTCATTATTTGTGGGGGATAACAACAACAGGTTAAAAACATGAGACTGGAGTAAGGAGTTTGGGTATGAATCAATCATCCTACCACACCTAACTCCACCCAGAGAAAGGGGGTGTTGGAGTTTTATACTCTTTCCTCTGGAGGGTTTTTAATAGAGGATAGTCACCCACGCAGAGCTCTGTACAGACGGATAGCAGAGCACAGTTTGGGCTAGGATCCTAAATGAGCCAGGTTTTTAAAATTTTGTTTTTGTTTTTGATCCCCCTTAATTTAAGATGGCTGAGTTAGTAAAGCAGACTGTGGCCCAATTTACACTCTCATTTGCTGGTGAAGGAACAGAAAAATAAGAATGACCACATTACATTAATTACATGGATAGGCAAGAAAGTGTAGGGAGGGAAAAAGACCTTCCTTCGTGGTCCCACGTCCTGTGACTTGGGACCTGGAAATTAAACTGACAAAAGAGAGATCAACAAGAGAGAAGCAGTTTATTAACCCGTGAGTGCACATACCCATGCGAGAAACTAAGTGGTGAATGACTCAAAGCGTGCCTACAATTTGGGGTTTAATGTATTAACAAAGAATAATTTTGTAGAGAAGTGACAAAAGAAAAGGCGATTAGGCTTTCAGGGACAGCAGACTGCTAAGGTAAAAACGTAATGGAGGAAACAAATGGAAGATAAGGGTTCATTTAGTTAAGGTTTGCGGGTCACTGAAAGTCTGAGTTGCCCTCTTCTTGGTAAGGGAGAGGGAGGCACCTTTACAAATAGAAATTTATGTCCTGCCTTTTAGGCGAACGGGGGCAGTGAGGAGGGCGGGCAGGGATCTTAAAAAAATTTTTTAAGCTTCTGCTGTTTCTCTGCTATCTTCAGCTCAAAATTATCTTTGTGTCAAAGTGGCATGTTTTGGGGTGGCACATTCTGATCCCCTACAAAAACATAAGTGTGGCTTCTTCCCTGAGGAGGAAAGAAGGGACTGCCTGAGTGTGCGGACCTCAAAGGCCAGAAACACAGACAGAGCCCTGGGTTCTCGCCCTTAAATCACAAGTGGCCCTTGACATTCGCGAAGTGCGGCCGATGGGTGTCCTCAGTTCTGTCCAGTCGGGTAGAAGACACGGAAGGTGATGCGCAAGAGATGAGAGGGATGCTTTCCTTGGCAGCGCCTACCACCCCCAGCTCATTGCCACGTCGCACGGCCGCAGCACAGAGCGCGCTCAGCGACGCTCCAGCAGGACCCCGGGCGGCCTTGCAGAGATTTTGCCTGGAAAATGCCATCCTCAGACCGGCCTCCGGGCGGGGTGGGGTAGGTCCGGCGGGCGGCGCCCTCTGCTCTCCTCCTCCCAAACATCTCTGAACCACATTTATGGGACGTTTAATGGGTTAGAACGAAGCGGCTAATAATTCCGCCCACGGAAGCATGGAGTCCCTCGCAGAACCGACGCTGCCACCGCCTCCCGTGAGGAAGCCACTCAGGCAGGAGGGCGCGGCTGCCGGAGAGCGCCTGCGCCACCCGGTGGCGCCAAAGCCGCGAAGGTGGGCGGAAACCATGGCAACGCGGCGAGACGTTCGCTACGCCGCGCGTGATGACGGTCTGGGGAGCGCCCCTAACGCCGGATTATGACGCAGTCGGCGGCGCGGGCCCTGCGGTCTCGCGTGACCGCGGACGCAGCCTCCTGGCCTCCAAACAGCAGCAACGGCAGAGGCAGGCGGGCGAGGTCAAGATGGTGGCTCCGCGGGCGGGGGAGGCGTTGGAGGGAGGAGGAGCCAGACCTTAGCCGGCCGGAAACACAGACACCCAGAGGCCTCCCGGGAGCCTCCGCCGCCTGCTCCAGCTCGAGAGACGCGAGCGGGCGGCGGGGCAGGCGGTGAGACAGACCGGAGAGGAGGGAGGGCGGGGGCGGAGTCGCCCGCCTTAGCCCCCGCCCCTGGCCGTGGTCCCGGGCCCTGCCCCGCGCGGCCCTGCCCGGCTCGCCCAGCCCCGGTGTGGCAGCGGCTCATGGCGGCGGTGGGGCCCCCGCAGCAGCAGGTGCGGATGGCCCATCAGCAGGTCTGGGCGGCGCTCGAGGTGGCGCTCCGGGTGCCCTGCCTCTACATCATCGACGCCATCTTCAACTCCTACTACGATTCCAGCCAAAGCCGGTTCTGCATCGGGCTCCAGATCTTCCTCCGGCTTCTTGGTAAGCGGAACCGGGTAGCTTGCGTCCCAGGACGGCTGTGCGGGCCGAGACGTGCTGCAGGGAGCGGGCACCCGCGCGCAGTCAGTGGGTAGTGTGTGTACGTGTGAGAACCAGTTTCTTTCCCAACAGAGGCATCTTTGCAGGCTGGGAGAGGGGAGGAGATGACACTTGTCTCAGAGTTGACAGCGGAGCAGTCCTCGTCAAGAGTCAGCCCTCCGTTCATTTTTGCACCCGAGGGTGGGGAGAAAGCATGGATGTGTGAGCATGCGGCTCTTTGCCTGCTGTTTCTCTTGGGGAATGAGTACTGGCTCGCCGCGTCTCCTGCGACAGCCTTGGAAAAACAGCAACTCTGCCCCATCTCGCCGTGTGTGACCTTGGGCTTGTAGTGCCAAGGCCCGGGCCTCAGTTTCCCCCTCTCCAAAATACAGAGCACTCCTATGTTGTCACTTCTGTATCCCCGGGCCCACATGATCATGAAGTGTCTGCGGGAAATGACACCCAAACGTAGGAGACAGGGTTTCGAATGTCAAACCTTGAAACGATTACCAAAAATGCTCATGAAGCCAGCGATACTTGTAACGAGTCTTAGCATTTTCCATGAATAGAGAAGGTATTGAAAATCGTTATAAAAATGGCTAGAAAGTGAGGAGACTTTTCCGAGACTCCTGAAAATCACTGCCTTTGTTGTAAATGAATGGAGTGTTAACAGTATCCTGTTTTCATCCCCCGTCTTTACTTGCATTACCAGTGTGAGAAGCATTTATGCATAACATTTTTTTCTAAAGCAGCTGAAACTTGGCAAATTTTGTTGATGAGGTAATTCTTGTGATCAGTTTTCAGTAGGCTTGTGATTTTGAAGTGTTGCTGATGAAGGGTTGATGATGAGGTCCTTATTACCGAGACTTTCTGAATTAGGAACCATCTGTTGCTTGTTTATTCCTCCAAAAGGGGGGAAAAAAGTGGTGTTGAGTTTTATTATTGGCAATAACATTTTACATTTGTTTGGTACTTTATTTTTGTAAAGCATTTTCACTGTTTTTATCTAACCTAAACTTTACACATCCCTCAGAGGTGGATGGTGCTAATCGCATTTTTTAAATGAGGTAACTGAGGTCCATAGAGACTAAGTGTTTTTGATTTTGATACTAAGTGGTTGCCAGAGCTTGGGCTGAAAAATCTTCTGACATCCAGGGTGGTTCACTTTTCTCCTCTATACAGCTGCTATCCAGATACAGAGTGGTATAGTAGTGATCGTACGTTAGATCTAAAACTAACAGATGGGACAGTGATGCTCTTTAGCACAAGACTTCTCAGTAACCCACCAGCTACTTGATCCCAGTCATTGCTACTTACCATTACAAAAGTGTAATGCCCTCATTATATGTGGCAAAAAGGGAGCTGTGTGATTTCACAGTGCATATAATATGGAATCATCATGTTCTACACCTGAAACTAATGTGTTACATGTCAGTTATACCTCAGCTTCAAAAAGAGCATTAAGTGGTTTTAATGGTTTATGCTCAACATATTTTGCTTCATTTTGGTACTCGTAGATAAAAGTGATTTCAGTTAAAGTGAAATTCGTAAGGGGGGCCTGTTGGGATGGCATTTTATTTCTGCCAGTTAGAAGCCATTCATCAAGATCATAGATTAATAGGCTCTTACTTAACTCAGTATAGTTACTTAGGGGTTCCAGCTGAGCCTGATCAACTACCAGCCCTCTTTCCCTGCCATACCCACCCACATTAGTTAGGGATATGCATGCGGGCAAGATCTGTGCCGGTTTTTGGCATCAAGAGACTGAGAAGTGAGAAGAATTACCATTTTTGTTCCTCAACCCCATAGGATGAGAGAGAGCTTGCTAGAGAGAGAACAGAAGCTAACAGACTTCCAAGGAGCTTTATCAATTTTGGGATAACCCAAGTGCTGCTTTGGAAACTCACCGAATATAACTACAGGGATGACCTTCGTCACTTCTGTTTTAAGAGGAGGTCATGGTGGAGCAAAAAGAAAAAAAAGGCCACAAGAACCAAAAAACAACACAGCTGTGTTTGAGGGGATTCATGTATTCTTTGGCAAATGGTGTAGCCACTGCCTTGAATGTTCTTTTGACCTGCAACTTCGTATCCTTTTGAGAAGCCCTTTGAGACCAGGTGCTTAAAGGCAGCGCTCTTGAGAGTTGAGCTTTAGGCTAAGGAGCTTTAAGGAAAAGGGAGTATTTTCCTTAATTAAATCATGTGTAGTTTAAGAACCCTGAACAGTAATTTTGGTATTTTCTTTGTAACCCATGGGTATTTTTATGGTAAATCATGGAAGCTGTATTTGGCAAGTTAAAGAATGTGACCTCAGGCAAGTGATTTAACTGCGCTGTGCCTCCCTTTTCTTAACATTTTTAAAGATGGGCAGTGATGGTCTGTCTCAGGATGTTAAGGATGGTAAGTGAGTTAGGATGTAAGCTCTTAGAACAGTACCTGGACCTAGGAAAGGCTATCTAAGTGTTAGCTATTAATAAGCTTGATAGCTTTAAAAAAAAAAAAAAAAATGCTTCAGTTAAGACCATACTGTTAGATACTTTGGTCTTTTGAAGGCCTCAGTGAAATTTTGGTGCTTTGTACCCACAATTTTTTGTTCACACTTTGTAAGAAAAACAACCTGTTTTCCACATCTATCACCTGGACTGCTTCTTACGTTATACCAGTGTAACTTGCTAATTTTTCATACTTGTGAGAATGATAAAATTCTTTTTTTAAAAAATGTTTGTTTATTTTTTAGAGAGAGAGAATCCTCAAGCAGGCTCAGCACTGTCAGCGCAGAGCCCAACATGGGGCTCCATCTCACAAACTGTGAGATCATGACCTGAGCTGAAGTCAAAAGTCAGACGCTTAACCGACTGAACCACTCCGGCACCCCAGAATGATAAAATTCTTAAAAACTGGTTTTGTTGCTAAAGATTTACCCTGAATGAAAACAAATGTCTTCAATTTTTGAGGCCCATTCAGTGAGGCAGCTTATGTTGTTACTGAAAGTGACAGATTTGTGTGTAAAAGCTACCAGAGGATAGTTGAAATTAATTGTTCGATCTAGTTGTTTTTTTTTTTTTTTCAATAATCGTTGACCTCTCAATACTACTGTCTGTAAATCTCAAAACTTGTCAAATCTCATCTTTTTCTTTAAAATGGAATTGTAAACATGGAAATCTATTCTCTAGAAAGCATTACCAATTTTATATCTGGTCTGAAAAATTTACTCCTCTCCTACAAAAATATACCACCACTGCACTTGATTTGGTATCCAACTAATACAAGAATTTCAGCAGATTAGAATATAAAGCATCTCATTTTGGAGATCCAAAAAATACGAATCACAGCATATGGAGTATTTAAGAATATTAAGCTATTCTTAGGAGGTGTTAAATGCTAAATGAAATGCAACCCAGTGCGGCATAATGCTGAATTAGCAAATCTAAATCCAAGGCAGAAAACGCAAGCAGACGAGTTTGATATTATTACTCATGTACTGATAATTCATTGAAGTAGAAAGGCCTTTCTAAACACAAGGAAACCCAGAAGTTACAAGGAAAAAATTGATAAATTTGAGCGCATAAAAATGGAAGACTTTTTTTGTGACAAAACTCTTTTTTAAAAAAATTCTTAAAAATGACAAACTGAGGGGAAAGTATTCACACTGTATAAGATTGAATAAAAGTTTTACTTTTAAGAAAAGACTTACTTAAAGAACAACTTAAACCCCCAGAGAAGAATGGGCCCAAGATAAAGTAGTTTCCAATAAATGAAATGCAGATGGTCAGTAAGCAAAAACAAAAAACAAAAACTCAGCCACATTTACAGTTAAAGAAACGCAGGCAACAAGATTTCAGTTACCAGACTGGTGAAGAGTTCAGCATTCAAATAAAAGTTATACTATATACAAAGTTCAAATAAAGTTATACAGTTTTGGTATGCTGTCACTTCTGTGTAAAGCCATTTGGTTCTGTCTCTTGAAATCCGTCATACATCTTTTGACTCAATTCCAATTCTAAGAATTTGACCTAATATAATTGCACTTGTGCAAGACTATGGGAAAGGATTTTCATGGCAGCATTGTTGGTAATAACAAATTGTTGATCTAAATATCTATTAGATATCTAACTTAGGTAATCTAAGTATCTAAAAGGAATCTGTTCTTTATATTAGGTTTAGACATAAAATGAAGTTTTTGAAAAGAATGAGATAGGTATTTTTGGTGGTATAGAAAGAACTCAGAAAACCTTTGAAGTGAAAAAACAGTGAAGCAATAGTAATGTTGATAGACTGGGGATTTTCAACAGCAACCCTATTGATGTTTTGGACTGGATAATTCTTGGGGGGGGGGGCATTGGGGAGGGTTGCTCTTCTGTGAATTATAGGATTTTCAGCAGCATCCTTGTCCTGTTCCCATTACATACCCATTAGCATCCCTCTTCCTCCTTTTGTGACTGCTAAAAATGTCTCTAGGCATTTAGATATTACCAAATGCTGGGTGTGGGTGTGGGGAAGTGGGGTTGGGGCAAAATCTGATCCTAGCTGAGAATCACTGAGATAGATAAATAGACCAATAGCACAGAATAGAAACCCCAGAAACAGAGCATCCATGTATATAGAGAAACTTGATGTGTTTCAGAGGTAGAATTGAAGTACGTACATTGAGGTAAATACAGACTATTCAGGTAGTGGTCATTTAGTTACATGGAAAAAATTACACTGGGTCCATACCTCACATCAACATATAAATAGTTTTAGGTGGATTAATACCTAAATGTGAAAAGCAAAACTTTAAAAATTTGTAGAAGAAAATATAGGAGAATATAGAGTTTTTTTTAACCTTCGAGTAAGGGAGAAATTCTTTAAAAATGTATGAAAGTAAATGTATAAATAAAGATTGGTAAATCCAACAATATTAAAATTAAAAACCTCTGTCAATCAAAAGGCAGCAGCAGAAATGTGAAAAGATCAGCCACATACCTGCAGAAGATATTTGCATTACAGATAACTGATAAAGAATTTGTAGCTAGAATATTTTTAAATGTCTACAATTCAAGAACGAAAAACCGCTCCATAGATAAATGGTCAAAAGATAAATTGGCAATTCACAGAGAAAGAAACATGGTCAATAAATCGGAAGATGCCCTCTTTGATAAGTAATCAGAAATGCAATTTTTAAAAAAGATAATAAAAACTCCACTATTACAATGACATCCTCTTTGGATAAGAAGCAAAAAGAATGAGTTCGTGAATGTGTGTTTGCTTATGCAAAACTTTGTTTACTCTTCATTTTATACCCATACCTTTTGACTTTAAAAAAATTATATTCACATTTCTTTTTAATAAAAACGTTAAAAATCTTAGTTTAGAAGCAAAAATTTAGTTTTCTTATTAATAAAAGACTCAGAATACCCTTTTAAACCCCAAATGAGAATTCTGTAGAAATACTTTCTTTATGCTCTCGTTTATTTATCAAGTATACCTACAGATTAACATTTCAAGATATTTTATTTACTTGGTCTACATTTTATTGCTTGGGACTCTCTTTGGATTACGGTAATCATGACATTTCTGTGTTCATTCTTTACTTTGTTAGGCATTTAAGTGTTTTTCCATAGTTTTCTTCAGATTGTGTTTAAAAGATATTTAAAGATATCTGGAGAGTTATAAATGTTATGTCTTATTTCCTTCCAGTTTTTAGTCCTCAGTTTCTAGACAGGGTTAAAGGTATGAATGGACTTTACACCTAAAGGGGTTAAACACTTTGTTGTGCGCCATGCATGGCAGTGTTTGTTTTGTTTGCTTATTTTGGTAATCAAGTTGAAAAGGCCCTGAACTCTTTCATGAATAGAGTTTGTATGTATCTTCCAAGCTCCTGAATTGATTTTGATACTTGGCTCTTTTCCTACTGTGAGAACTTCAGTGGAACTCTAATCACTGGGTACTGAGATCCCTGATCTCCAGTGTCCAAGGTGATTTTTCTTCATAAAGTAGCATTTATATATAGTCTTGATTGCTTCTTCAGGTTACTCTTAAATCCTAATGAGAAATCTACCCCTGCGCTTAATTTTCTTAGGCCTTCAGGATAAATACCAAGAGTTTTATGTCTGAAGTTGTAAAAATGCAACAAACTTTGGTATTATTTCAATGTTAAAAGGCCATAAGAGGGAATGTTACTTGAGAGACTTGTTACTTGGCACGTGGGCTTTTTCTGTGAGATGAGAGCTGATTTTTCCTACATTTCCATACATAGGAACATGAGCATAAAAGAAAACTGTAAGAACCTTACGTGCAAACTTTGGGTAGGAATTAAAATAATTTTAAATTATTCTTGAAATGTTTTGTCATTATTGTATCCTGGAGTATAATTTTAATCACGAAAAGTAACAGTTTCTTACTGTTACTTGCTGGGGCGCATCCAGACTTGGAGTATAGTCTCACTACGTTGGCCATCATCTCCCCCTTTTTTCCTTTGATACATTTGCATGAAGCAAAATAGCACTGTTTCTACAGAAATATTTGTAAAAATCCAGTCATTCCTTCATTTGTGTATAAAAATAAGCTTTAAGGAAGAGAGCTGTTAGAATAAAAAGGACTGGTTTATAAATTACAACAGAGTTCATGGTTATTCACAGGTAAAGATTAATTTACCATTTTGTGGATAGCAAGTTGACAAAAATAATTTATAGTCCCTGTTTGGCTTTCTCCATTTTAAGTGGCATAAAATAGGACTGAAGTTATTTGGGTTTTATTTTGACTTATTTTAGGAGATTAGGTTAAGTTTTGTGTCAGGAAAAATACTTTTTTTTTTTTTTTTTTCCCACATAGAAAAAGTAAGATTACACATAGTGGGTGAGTAAATTCTGTTTCCTGTACCGTACATGAAAAATGTTTCTAATCCAACCCAAAAACCCATTTTCTAGTGAAAGGGCCTGTTCCCACCTGTCAGCTCTTTGGGAGATTATCAGTGACCACTTGCTCCAGGAATTAGGTGGTTCTTGTGCAGACATGTATGTGTCTTTCAGGTGATTGTGCCCTTCTCTCCTTTTCACGAATAATCTGACACGTGAGCACAGGATAAATTTTAAGTTCATAGGCAAAGCCATCATTGAGAACTAGCCCTTGCTTTTTTACGTGCAATAGACTGTAAAATGCCTCCATTGTAATATGCAGTGTCTTTCTTGATTACGTGTTGAAATAAGGTGGGTAGATGATGTTTTTGGCGTTTGCCACTTTTTCTGTACTCTAAGCTCTGGTTTCTCAGTTTTGTCTTACCTTTCCATAGGTTTCAGTTTCCAGGTGGGCTGTATTTTGCGGTTACCTTTACAAATATAATCTAGAACGCAGCAGAAATATTTCCCCAATGTGACTTCAGTGAACAATGAAATAATTGTATTTATTTTCTGCAGAATATTTTAGGATCCATAGATGTGCAAGGTAGGAACCTTGCTTGCTACCAAGAATATATTGTATAGCAGGGTAGATGACCTACTCAGATACCTACAAACTACAACATCAGGTAGTATAGGAGTGTTGGGCGTTTCCCCAAGTTCTGTGGGTAAGTTGAAAGATCAGTCACTACCAGAGAAAATGGGTCGATTGGATGGGTACGATTCAGACAGGGATTTGGGAAGCCCATCATACCGAGCAAAGAGAAGAATGTAAACATAGCTGCAGTTGTGGCAGAGAAAGGGGTATGTTTGAGAAAGAAGTCTGGAGTGGTGGTCTGTGTGTGTTGGGAGGAGCGCTACTCTAAAGCACGTTGGATCCTTGAATGTTTGGACGAGGAATGTAGATTTCACTTGCTAGTAATTTCAAGAGCCACTGCTTTGGAGCATAGAAATGAAGAAAGGCAGTTTGGTGATGGACTGGATAGATTTGGACAAGAGCTTTTAGGCACCAGCTAACAGGTTGATGTCGCTGAGTAAAGGAACATAATAGGTGTTAGCAGAATTGGCAAATAACTGTCAAAGTTGGAGGATGTGGGGCTAGAGGTGCCATTAAGAGAATAATGGTACGTGTAACTGAAATTGGAAATTGCAAGAACTATTTGAAGTGAGTTAGGTTTTAGAAATTTTGAGTGTTTCAGTTGTAAGGTAGAGGTGGAACTAGGTGAATATTTGGATATTGTTTCCATAGTTGAAACCTTGGGCAATAATGTTTATTGTGATCTCACTTAAATTTGTCAGAGTTGGGGTGCCTGGGTGGCTCAGTCTGTTGAGTGTGTAACTTGGGCTCAGGTCATGACCTCACTGCTCCTGAGTTCAAGCCCCACATCGGGCTCTGTGCTGACAGCTCGGAGCCTGAAGCCTGCTTCAGATTCTGTCTCCGTCTCTCTGCCCCTCCCCTGCTCATGCTCTGTCTCTCTCAAATATAAAAAAAAATAAAAACATTAAAAAAATTAAAAAAAAAATTGTCAGAGCACAAAGAAAGATGATCCTGGATGCATGTCACACTGTACATTGGTTACATACAGAGTGTGGGGGGAGGGCTTTATTATCATTTTAAAAAAATGTTTGAGAGCGAGCACGAGCAAGGGGAGGGACAGAGAGAGAATCCCGAGAAAATCTGTGTACTGATAGTGCAGAGCCTGATGTGGGGCTCAATCTCATGAACGATGAAAACATGACCTGAGCTGAAGTCAACAGTTGGATGCTCAACCAACTGAGCCACCCAAGGCGCCCCTTATTACCAGTTTTTAAAACATGTTTTGGTTTTCTAAATGTTACTTCTGTAATTTAGAGAATAAAAAGGGTTGACTATTTGTAGTAAAAGATACAGTAATTACAGGAAAAAAGAGAACTTTGGAGGATGTTTCTGAAATCTTCAGGAAAGTATGTAGAAAAAAAACCCCTGATTTTGGACCCATGGGAGAATGCAGATTTAAGGAGCAGGAAAAATAAAAGCCAGCAGGAGTTCACTGTTTGAGGAAAAGGAGGCCTTAGGTGTATTATAAAAGTTAAACTTGATTTCCTAAATGTGACTTGTAAGAAAAAGGAATCTAAGGTTTAATAGGCAAATATTTGCATTTTGACTATTTTTAATTCTTAATTTTTTTAAAGTAATGGAATTGTTTTAAATATTTTTAGTGATTATGAAATTATAAAGGATATGTTCTTTCAAGATTTTAAAACATTAAAATGTATCACTACAAACTGATCTTGAAGATAATTTTGGGGTCTGGACATACAGTACTACTGGAATTACTTTGGGAATTAGAACATAAAGGAATAAGATTTTTTAAAATATTGTTTGGTCTGTTCTGGTGAACTCTGACTTTACAAAACCTTTATTGGCCTTTAAACCTAAATTGTCTTGAGGCTTAGTTAAGTTCGTAACTTTGAAAATATTCATATTTCCTGAGTAAGGGGAGAATGGCATAATTATTAGTAGAAAAACATTCTTAAAAATGTTGTGTTCAAATGACCTGTTCTTTCTTTCTTTTTTTTTTTTTTTCTCTCTTGTTTAGGTATATTTGTATCCAGTATTGTTCTGATCTTGTCACAACGATCACTTTTCAAGTTTTACATGTACAGTTCGGCCTTTCTATTAGCTGCAACTTCAGTGTTGGTAAATTATTATGCTTCTTTGCACATTGACTTCTATGGTGCCTACAACACATCAGCTTTTGGAATTGAGCTGCTTCCTCGCAAAGGGCCCTCACTATGGATGGCACTCATCGTTCTCCAGCTGACCTTGGGCATTGGATATATTACACTACTGCAGATCCATTCCATCTATTCACAATTAATTATTTTGGATCTCTTAGTTCCTGTAATAGGCCTGATCACAGAGCTGCCATTACACATCCGAGAGACTTTAGTTTTTACTTCTTCCTTGATTCTCACGTTAAACACAGTGCTTGTCTTGGTAGTGAAACTTAAGTGGTTTTATTATTCTACACGATATGTTTATCTTTTAGTGAGGCACATGTATCGAATTTATGGATTACAGTTATTAATGGAGGACACATGGAAGAGGATTCGTTTTCCAGATATACTGAGAGTCTTCTGGCTAACAAGAATTACAGCTCAGGCTACGGTGTTGATGTACATCTTAAGGATGGCAAATGAAACTGATTCCTTCTTTATTTCTTGGGATGATTTCTGGGACCTCATTTGCAATCTTATAATTAGTGGATGTGATTCTACACTAACTGTGCTAGGCATGAGTGCTGTAATTTCCTCAATAGCCCATTATTTGGGCCTTGGAATATTGGCTTTTATTGGATCCACTGAAGAGGATGACAGGCGACTTGGCTTCGTAGCACCTGTTTTATTTTTTATTTTGGCTCTTCAGACTGGTTTAAGTGGGCTAAGACCAGAAGAGAGACTTATTCGCTTAAGTAGAAACATGTGCCTTTTATTAACTGCAGTCCTGCATTTCATCCATGGGATGACAGACCCTGTATTAATGTCTCTCAGTGCCTCTCATGTGTCATCTTTTCGTAGACATTTTCCTGTGCTCTTTGTCTCAGCTTGCCTGTTTATTCTTCCCGTTTTACTCAGTTACGTGCTTTGGCATCACTATGCGCTAAATACGTGGTTGTTTGCAGTTACAGCCTTTTGTGTGGAACTCTGCTTAAAAGTAATTGTTTCTCTCACTGTTTATACATTATTCATGATTGACGGCTACTATAATGTCCTTTGGGAAAAGCTTGATGATTATGTCTACTATGTTCGTTCAACAGGCAATATTATTGAATTTATATTTGGAGTAGTAATGTTTGGAAATGGGGCTTACACTATGATGTTTGAGTCAGGAAGTAAAATTCGGGCTTGTATGATGTGTCTACATGCATATTTTAACATCTACTTACAAGCAAAAAACGGCTGGAAGACATTCATGAATCGTAGGACTGCTGTTAAGAAAATTAATTCACTTCCTGAAATAAAAGGGAGCCGCTTACAAGAGATAGATGACGTATGTGCAATCTGCTATCATGAGTTTACGACATCTGCTCGCATCACGCCATGTAATCATTATTTCCATGCACTTTGCCTTCGGAAATGGCTGTACATTCAAGATACTTGTCCAATGTGCCATCAAAAAGTGTACATCGAAGATGACATTAAGGATAACTCAAATGTATCTAACAACAATGGATTTATTGCACCGAATGAAAATCCAGAGGAAGCTATAAGGGAAGCTGCTGCTGAATCTGACAGGGAATTGAACGAAGAGGACAGTACAGATTGTGATGATGATGTTCAAAGAGAAAGAAATGGAGTGATTCAGCAACACACAGGCCCTGCGGCTGACGAGTTTATTAATGATGATACTGACTGATTAAAATAGCATTTGCTAATCATTGAGGTATTTGTTTAAAATTCAGTTCATCCAAAATGGAGTAATATGCTTCACTTCAGTGTGTAACCAAGCACAAAAACAGTATCCATGTTGAATCTGTGAATGGTTTTCCGTTTACTGTGATGTGCTACTGTAAATATACCTCTTTAATTACTTCTGGTCTCTTTGGTGACCTGTTTAAATATGTGTACATTGTTGTACATAGAATAAAATGTTTTCACGTTTTTATGACAAAATTTGAACAACTAGCTTTTTAATAGATGTAATGATAATACAGTGCATCAACTGTGCCAAAGATTCCTCAATGAAAGCATATGAAAGTATCTAACTGTGGACCTTAGTTTTTCTTTAAAATGGATGGGAGGAATGAAAATGCAAATCAGAGGAAACCACATTACGTAAAAGAAATAAAGTAATTTGGACCAGAGGATAAAAGCTATACCTAGGGTATTTTAAAACAAAGGCAAAATAGGCTGCCGGAAGAGACTTTCTTGAAATTTGAGAGCAGCCCCTTGTGGAGCTGGGGTGGAAAGTCATGATTCAGAGATTGTGTAAGAGTTGATAAACAGGTTTATCTCAACTAAACTTTGGGATATAAACCAGAATGTGCTACTTGTTTAATTTTGATGTAAACAAAACAAAACAAAACAAAAACCCAGTATGCTTATTGGCCATTCTGTGTTTGCAGCGTTGACATAAAATTGTCCTTTCAGACTCTGGAAGAGATTACAAGATGAAATATTTGGGAGTTTTCATTGATGTAAACTAAGACATTAGTTGACATTAAAAATTTTTTGATCTGACTTTATGGATTAAAAATGAGGGGGATGGTGTGCAGTAACATACAATAACTTTCCATTCAACTTCCAGAGCATTTCTTTATTCAGTCCTTTAGTAAGGTTTACCATGAAATTTTACATACATGATGGAAAATGGAAAGGACATACTAATTACATGTCAGGAAAAAAGATTTTAATGGTGTTGTTATATAGTGTATTGGCTAATTCCAGTGGATCCTGCTCTCTCACTGCTGACATTATCTCCAGTATTTGACTAAAAGAGAAAACAAAAATGGATGGTGATTTCCAAGTACCTGCTCAGTTTTAAAGGTTTTCTCTTCATCCATGCAAAGGAAGCTCTTGTACTAGCACCTTTAACATAACAAGCTTTAACCAGCTATAAAGTTTTCAACAGAAAGGCTGAACTGCTGCCATATTTAAAATAGGGTAAGTTGAGACAAGGACCAGGTTCAAATAAATTCTAAAACCAGCCCATATCATGTCTACCACAAATTAATGGAACTAACCCAGTGAAGACGACGAGTTCTTTCAAACCGTAAGTCATCATGCATTCATTAGTGCGTCATGATGAATTTTCAGAAAATTGTAAGAAAAGGAAAAGTACATTGCACTTAATAAGGGAAGTACTGTTTCATTTTTGTTTGGTTTTATACGTACATGTGTGCTGAGTCGCAAGGTGGGTGGCATTGTGGGTACAGCAAAGTTTGAGCACCTCTGCTAAGAGAATTAGTCTCAAAGGACAGCAGGAAATTGCTGCATCATCATTAGCACAGTGACCGCAAAGGAAGTTACAAGTTATTTACTTGGAATAATGCATGGTTATTGGGGGAGGGGGGAGGGAGACGTGCTTTCTCCTCTGTACTTTTTCCCTGCACGATCAAGAACAGCCTGGGTGTCAGATCTTTCAGTTTCTCTGCCTAGAATAATCATCATCATGAGTGTTCTCTAGCCGTACTATATGTAATGTTTTTATACATGAATTAGAAAGTTCTAAAGTCCAAATTAAACATTTAAATATTCTTTGTGTTAAGTTTTTTGTCCCTGCTATGGGTTTCTTAAATATAAGCAACTAAAGGAATTAGGGACAGAGATTAGAGACTTACTGGAATTTTTTAAAAAGTACATAATCGTAACACAAAAGCTTCGCTTAATATAGACTAAATTTTTATTATCTAGATCAAAGTATGCTAAAAGCAAATCTGTTAACATTTAAATTGACATTAAGGACCCAATTTTCTTAGTAAACTACAGAACTTTCCTCTGTTAACTACTTAGAATTAGAACTTACCTGCATAATGTGTGAAATCAGTAAGGTTCCTGCCACCCATCTCCTTTTTCAGTCCTTTCTCTGTGCTGATATGTTAACAGCGTTTTATTTTTTTTTTTTTTCAACTTTTTTTATTTATTTTTTTGGGACAGAGAGAGACAGAGCATGAACGGGGGAGGGGCAGAGAGAGAGGGAGACACAGAATCGGAAACAGGCTCCAGGCTCCGAGCCATCAGCCCAGAGCCCGACGCGGGGCTCGAACTCACGGACCGCGAGATCGTGACCTGGCTGAAGTCGGACGCTTAACCGACTGCGCCACCCAGGCGCCCCGTTAACAGCGTTTTAAAAACAACTGCCATTTTCCTGCTGAAAATCCTTTGGGTCCTGGTGAAATCTAAACTACTAAGGTTGGCATACGGGAGCCCTCACCAGTCTTCCCAGACTTATTACTTACCCGTGCATCCTACTTTTTGTCACAGTAAACTCATTGTTTCCCCTGTGAGCAGCCAAGCCCTTCTGCAGCCTGCCTTTGCTCAAGGCATCTGTCCTGGTCTGGCCTAACTCCCAGTTGCACTTTGTGACCAGTTGAAATGTCACCTTAGTTAAGCTACTTCCCCACAAGGCAGGCAGTGACTATGTCCTGTGCTCCTAGTCGTATATTCATACCTCTATAACAGAACTAACATCTTAGATTATACTTTCTGCTGCTTTGCTTCAGGAGGGCAAGGATTCCTGTCTGACACCTTCAATGTCTTATCCAAAGTGCCTGGCAGAATGTGTCTTGTCATCTGCTGGGTGGATGCGGGCAGGGACTTTGATTCTTCTATGTAACCTCAGTAACTTACACCTTCCTGACATACAAGAGCTTCAAAATGTGTTTCATGGAATTTATAATCTAAAAGGGAGAAAAGATCTCTATAAAAAATAATTAAAATATAAAACTGTTAATAGATGGGATTGATAAAAATGACTTTTTAAGTAGGAATTAATTAGTAATTAGCGTTAGACTAGAGGCATGTGTGTTTTTGAAATGTGGTTTAAAAACTTTCAGTTTGTAAATGCTGGCTTTCCCAAGCTCAGCCTCCTCAACTGGTATTCATAATTGCAGCTGAGACTCCAGCTTTCTTGCTTAACAGTCTGCACTTGGAAGACCACAGAATTTTGTTTTACAGATGTGTAACCTAGGTCCAGAGCTATACTGTACTTAACATTAAGGCAGTATAGAAAACTGACTTGGATCCCCGTTGGCCAATACTTCCTCTAAGCTGGCTGCTGGAAAAATACCAGTTTGTTGTCTCTAGTGTCTCTTTAAATCTCCGAAAGATTCAGAAATAATTGTCTTCTGACAATCTGCAGGTAGCTGCATTTTATAAAAATTACAAGTGATTCTTTACTAGCCAGGATTTAAATGTATTCCTCAGCCTATGGGTTTTAAAACATTTGGTTTTAAAATCCTTGCCAACAACAGAATGTTAACAAAGGAAAATCTTTCCAGTATTATTTTTGTAGAATAATTTTCCACTTTTCTGCCTGCTGCATTTTAGATCTTATCTGATACACTTACCTGTTAAAAGCTACTTAAAAACGTATATGAAAGGAATTATTACAACCTAAAATTAACAGTTCAACTGCCTTGAACTGGTAAACCATACTAGATTGATCCAGTCTAGATTTAAATTATCAGCTTATGCAAACAAAAACTGGATGTGCCCATTAAAATGATATAAAGTTAACCTGTAAGTTACATGCTCTATAGCTCCTTAACAGTTAGATGGGTAAACAGCCCTTCTTTTCACATGCTACATGTATTATAATCAAAAACAAATTCTGAATTTTTTTTTCTCCTTTTGGGGTAGAAAAAGGAAATCCTTTCTATACCTTGCCCTTTTGTTCAGGGGCTCAAAGAAATGTGTTACTTCTTAGGTTTATTCAGGTTGTCAATTCATTTAAAATACAGATACCATTAAAAAGGTCTCCTGCTAAGAGTGCATTTTTATAACCATCAGCCAGGAAGCAGTATGAGAATCTTTTCTGCCTTTCCTACAAAATGACAAATGACCAAAATCACATGAAGTTCTTACTGCTGTAATATAACCACTTTTATTGAGCTGAGAGGTTGAAATGATATGAAGAGGGGCAGAGACAGAGCAACTTAGTGCAAATCCTTCCAAATCCTTTCAAAATGGTGGCCTTTGAGCTGAACTTCATTTGAATTTCACCCAACTTTAGTCCCTTGAGTTCATTCTGTAAGTGGCATTTGGTAGCTGACTTTAGTGTTCTGAAGACCAAGAAAACAAAATACTTACATTATATGGCAGGGTTCGTTCCTGTCTTTCACACAGTGCCCACTTTCCCACTTCTTTTTGGTAGGAAACGAAGTTTTTACATATTTTGACCCAGCATGTGTACTTTTCACTCCACACCAAGGTGCATCTGGAGTTGAGCGAAGAAAGAAGTCTCTTCAGAGATTTACCTTTCAAATTACTGATTTTTTAAAAAAAGTTTTAAATGTCTATTTTTGTGTGAGAGAATAGGGGAAGGGCAGAGAGAGAGAGGGAGACACGGAATCTGAGGCAGCCTCCAGGCTCTGAGCTGTCAGCACAGAGCCCGATGCGGGGCTCGAGCCCACGAACTGTGAGATCGTGGCCTGAGCCGAAGTCGGACACCTAACTGAGCTGCCACCCAGGCGCCCCTCAAATGACTGTTTTTGTAATGAACGTTATCAAACAAATAATGTAAATTCCTAAATACAAGCTGATTGAAAGCAAAAAAAAATCTAAGCACAAGATTAAACCTTGAACTCTACAAATTTTTAAATGCATTTTTAAAATTTTAATTGCTTTTTAGGAGTCTTATTTTTTTTCTGCTAACATTACTGTTGGTGTATGACATACTTTTAAAAAAGAAAGCTAAAAGAACACCAATTATAACCAGAAAAAAGTTAAACCTCTATTTGCCTCTCCTGAATGGAAAACAGTGGCTTTCAATACTAGGATTATTCACTTCCCTCTTTCTTTAATAAAGAATTGTAAGAATTTACACATTTTACAAGCATTGTGCTTTTAATAAAATAATTTGTCATGACTC